AAGTTGGAGTCAATATCAATAATTATGATGGGTATGGAACTAGATTACATGGAGTAATATATATATATATATTGATACAAATTTTGTTTTAAAATATATATTATTAAAACATACTATTTTCTGTGACCAAAATAATTCGTATTTTCATTTTTTTTTCTTTTAAATTTTATAATTAGAGTGGAATGTATCCCTTAACAAGAATCCAAAATTTAATTGGTAAAGTAAAAGCCGTGGCATGGCAGGGATAATAAAGAATTTAGATTGCAGATTGCAGATTGCAGTGCATGAGAGGGTAGAAGTAGAATCTAGCGGAGGTGAAAAGCAAGAGGTGGATTGGGCCGAAAGGTAGAGTCCAGGTGAGTTGGGTGAACATATTAGTTTTGGAAAAAGGAAGAGAAAATAGCAAGTGTTGGAGGCGAAGAGAGTGAGGAATTGGGAATTGGGAATTGGCATCAATCATCAATCATCAATCATCAATCATCAATCATCAATCAAAGAATAAAGATGCTCCGAACATGCATAGGCATAGGCATGTGTGGAAGCAGATGAGAGACAGGGAGGCTGGGAAAGTGCGTCCACATTCCTTCGCGAACAGGATAAAATCGAATCGCATTTCGCAGCTCCAATTGTCGAATCACAAGGACATCGTGTCCCCTCACAAAGGCGCCATCAACTCCCTTCAGGTACTCTCCTCCTCCTTTCTCCAATTCAATTCCCCTTAGCTCGCATTCCAATTTCACCGTGAAATCAGATTGATTCGACAGAGGGAAGATATTTGCTCTCCGCCGCCTCCGATGCCTCCGTAGCCGTCTACGACGTTCAACGACCCACCGCCATATCAAAACACACCTCCTTATTCGTCCTTGACAAGCACCACCACCAAGGTCACAAATATGCCGTCTCCTCAGCTATATGGTATCCCATTGACACCGGCTTGTTCGTCACTGGCTCATACGATCATCACATCAATGTTTGGGACACCAATACCACCCAGGTCTTTCTCTATACTATCACTCTTCAATTTTATTATAATAATAATTACTTAAAACTACCTTATGCACTTATGTCTAACAAAATAATCTTAAGACAATTGGATTGTGCCTGCAGGTAGTGGTGAATTTCAAGATGCCTGGAAAGGTGCATAGGACTGCAATGTCCAATTTGTCAACGTCTCACATGCTTATTGCTGCTGGCACTGAGGATGTCCAAGTTCGTCTTTGTGATATTGCTTCCGGGGCTTTTGCTCACACTTTGTCCGGACACCGTGGTATGTCAAGGCTTTATTCCGTTTGCTTTCTTTAATTGCGTCTCTCATGTGTTCATTCAGTTAGGTTAGGCTAGTTTAGTAGATCATGGTTACTTACTGGGATGTGTACCTATATCATGTTTATTCTCATTTACCACTCACATATTTGAATGCTTCTGTATTTCTGTCTGCCAAATGATTGCGCATAAGATCTAATGTTATGCAAATTACCAGAAAGTGAGACTCCTCTGGTTATTAATAAAAGGGTTTTGTGTCACATGTTTTCTTTAATGACAGATGGAGTAATGACTGTTGAATGGTCTAATTCAAGTGAATGGGTCTTGGTTACTGGGGGATGTGACGGTGCAATACGTTTTTGGGACATCAGGCGTGCTGGTTGTTTCCTAGTTTTAGATCAATCTCGGACTCAGCTTGGAAGACGGCCTCCTGTACTGAAACGTTCTATGATAACTAAGGTTCTCTTTTTCTTTAAGTGTAGCATATTCCTTGTCTACAGATAGTGAGTCTAAATAGCCATAATTGCAAGTTATGACTGCTTTAATCGAGTAGCTGAAATAGCACCTGGTGTTATTATGTGAGTTTTATGCTTGTTATTATCCCAAAACCTTGTCACTTGCAGGACTCAAGTACAAAGTTGCGTGCGGCACAAAAGAAACACGCTATTGGAAGTGGTAGCAGACAACTACCAATTGGCAGAGTTCCATCCAAGGGACCAATGAAGCAGAGGTTACATCCAGGAATGTTATCTACTCAGGATCGTGCAACTGCTCATTATGGTGCTGTGACAGGGTTAAAAGCGACAGGGGATGGCATGTATCTACTTAGTGCAGGTTTTCTTTTCATTAGTTATTTTATTATAGAATTACAAGAAATACCCGTGCAATAATCATTTTATATGACTCCATATTAAAGTTGTTGCTTGCTCTGTATAATTTGTCAAAATATAGTTCGCATCTTAATTCTTTCTCTCTCTAATTGTTGTGCTGTTGTATCACAGGGTCTGATTCAAGATTGAGGTTGTGGGATGTTCAATCTGGCTGTGACACACTTGTTAACTTTGAAACAGTGCGCCTGCAAACAAACAAACCCCTTCAATTTGCCACCACTCAAGATGCAACCCTTGTTTTTGTTCCATGCATGAGATCTGTGAAAGTATGTCATTAGTTTATATATTTTAACTTTAAATTAGGTGTATAAATGCAAATCTGGAACACTGATCTTTCTTTTGAATTATTCAGGCATTTGACATGTGGTCTGGGAACATGAACTCAATATTACGTGGCCACTATGAATGTGTGAACTCTTGCTGGTTTAATCAACAAGATCAGGTATGTTCAAGAGGTGGTGGTTCATTTTCAAACTTCCGGTGTTGGTAGGGAAATATATCATTTGTTCATTATTCATAATCCTGCACACATCTAAACTTCTATCATTAAATCATACGAAATATGGTTGGCCTTGCTCCCCCAACCCACACACACACATACACATTTTATCATCTAAATTTACTCAGGAAAAAAAGAGAGATACAGATAGAGAGGGTGTTAATTATATATGTAATCACCAGTCCTTTCCCTTCATTGATAAAAGGAGTATTTAGGAAGAAAAGAGACAATTAAAATATGACAAATTTTGATCGTGTTTGAAGATGAAACTAAATCAAGGTTAAAGATGAAAAGAAAGCCATTTATATCCATATAAATCAACTAGAAGCCAACTGACAATCACAAGATGAAGCAGGGAGTCATCCCTGTACGGCTGTACCCATCCCCCCACCTGATTACACTGAAAATATTCATTACTGATTCTTTGAAAGCCATGGCTTGTCCAGACTGTAGTCAGTTTTCTGTTGGCAAGAATTGCGTGACCCCTATAGGAAAATATTTATTAATTTTTTTATAATTTATACTAATCTCTTTATTTCAGGATAAAATAATAAACCCGTGAATCAGCAGTGGTCTCTTATACTAAATGCAATACGTCTTCGTAGAACTTAGAACCCAAGTCCCAAACTCCATGTACTTTTTAATGATTTTCTTTATTGTCTCAGGAACTGTACACTGGTGGAAATGATAGACAAATTCTTGTCTGGTCACCTGCGAGATCAATCGCTGATGAAATGGTGCACACTTTGAATCAATCTTGTTGAGATTATCATGTATATGTGTCAAGTGAGAACCTTCCATTTTGTTGGTTGTCTGACTTCATTGTGATAAACTGCAGGATGAAGGACCAGCTGAGGATCAGGATAACTGGAGTAGCTGAGTCTTGCCTCCATTTTTGTCACAACTTTCCCTTTCTTGTCTTCTTCCGCCACATCTGATGTTTGTGGGATTTGTAAATGTATGTTTGTTCTGGTTTTGGAGCATATGTGAAACGTTTTAAGGCACAAAACTGTATACTAGTAGCCCCATTGTTTTTTTGTAGAATAGAACTTTTTTCCCCATCTTTTAACTTGGTGTAAATTTTAAATTGACTCCTTGTTGTATGTTACAGCATAAACACATTTTTCATAATGCTCTGCTTATAAAATGTTGTGTATATATGTGCGGACTCAAATGACATTGTTGATAGTAACCTTTATACTGTGGCAGCTTAGATCTTGGTAACTTTATTAGGAAAAAAAATATCCATTGATCCCATAAAAAAATACATGACAAAAATCAGTAAGCATATGATTACTATAGTTTAATATATATCTTAATAGTTTTATGCAGATAAATTTTTATTGGACGTAATCTTTAAATATTTCCACACTGAAACTGAGTGGTAACTGTTCTATCTTACTAAGGAACATTGCTGTTTGTTATCAATAACCAGTTGACCGTGCACAGTTTTATTAACATTGGGCTTGACAAAGACGATTTACCATTGAATAGAAGAGATGAGAGTGGATTTGCAGGTAATTGAAAAAAATATAGTTATTAGGAGACAGTGATTTAAATGAATTTAAAGGTAAATGAAAGTGGATCTCACCAAAAAAAAAAAAAAACTTCACAACATAAGGTGATTTGTATAAAAATCAGAAAATAGCAAAATACGTTGTTTAATCATCACTCATCACTCATTTTTCATTTTTATTTGTAGAAGATACTTATCATATTCGATAAAATAAAAACAAATACACATCACAGATACTTTTCAGAATGTATTTTTTTTTTAAATTGCAGCAACTAATTTATTCACGAGAGTAATTTGATTTTTTTCACCTTGAAGTTCAGAATTAAAAAATTTAACGTATTTTATGAATTAGATATATGTGCTTTTTTTATTTAAATAATACCAACAAAATTATTGTCCACTATACTACTTCCACCTAATTGAGAATTTCTATTCTTAAAATCAAACCTTCCTTTTATTTATATATAATAAACATAAAATATAACATATGGAGATGAATAGTTTTATTTTTTTTGAAAGTGATACGATGGACAATTTACCTTTAACATATAAAATATAAAATAAATAATTATAATTTATGCTTAAAGTTATTATTTTATTTGTAAATATAACAAAATCAGACATTATCTATAATACACATTGTCGCTCATCAAAAAATAATAGAACTTAAAAAAAATACACATTGTCGAGATCTCTATCTAATTTGACATAATTTTAGTTTATTCCCTTATCAATATTTGACACAAAAATATATTAAATACACTATTTATAATACTAACCAATAAATTTTATATATGGTCTCGTGCATTGCATGGGTACTAAATCTAGTATATATACATACTTGAATATGTAACCAATTTTATATTTATTTATTTATTTTAAATAAAGAATTTAAAATATAATTAGAATAATAATAATAATTATAATAAATAAGTAAGTAAAAATTGATAACTTATTTTTATATAAATATTTAACTACATAACATACAATTTTAAAATATTAATTTCTTTCTATTTCTTTCTTAATTTGACTTTAATAATTATCTACAAATTACTCTTTCTTTTTTATTTATTTCTCATCAAATCCATTCTCAATTATTCGATTATTCCCTTTCATTTCCTTCGATTTCTTGCTCAAGCAAAACCAAAGTGTGCTAGCATGGCGAAAAAAAAAATAAAGGGCCCTCCAACAACTAATTAATAATTAATGTTGTCTTTTGCTGTTATGATGACACCTTTATTCAAGGACACGAATGAATTGTTAGAAAACTACCGTTCCTAGCTTATTGTAAAATTAAGTATTATTTAAACCCCTAGACTTCCCAAACTGGTTGGGATAATGGGATTGTTGGCCCGTTTGGATATTATAGAAACTTTAATTGATTGTTAATAATAGTCAATTTATCAAATTTCAATACATTCTCCCTGAGAGAATGAAAGAATACAAACTCACCTAATTCGCAGGTGAACGATTGGTATGAAGATTTTACAATAATTTGCAATTGTTGATAATTTGCCTAGATGAATCTTAGTATTTCCTTCATGGATATTAGACAATAACCTATATTACAAATTAAGTGCAAAGTTTTCAATTTTATTACAGAAGAGATCGTAGCCTGTGAATATTCATGAGAATCACTGATACAATAGGTTAACAACAATAACAATGCATATCAAAACAAACAAACAATTTCACAGTTTACAAATTGTCTAATCAAAATAAATCATGTAACAAATTGTTTCACCAATACTTTGTGACACATAATGATATCTTTGAAGTCAAGAAAAACATGATCAAGAAACTGAGACTTAACTGAAAGTGTCATTCTTGCAAAGCCAAAGGTCTTTGTCCAAGTATCTATTGCTTCCTGTGCAGAAGGCAAAACAATCTCCTCTACTCCCAAGAGAGTCAACTGCTTCTCAATCTCATTCATCATGATGCCACACATTCCCTGTCTCCTAAACTGCATCCTAGTAGCCACAAAAGGAATTTCTGCAACCCTCTTGCCAAAAACCCTTATTGTTGCAACAGAAATCACTTCCTCATTCTTCTCCAATACTACAGTATAGAAACCATGACAGTTCAAACGATTGAGCTCCGAACCTCTGCTGAAAACAACATCTTCTATCATATCTGTCCCAAAGAAAGCATCAATAACTCGGTCAAATGACTCATGCAATACACTGAGAGCCAGACTTAGCTTCCTTTCATTTTGACTCAAACTTCCATCCTCGTCCCAAGAAAGTTCAGATTCTCCACATCTACCACTTTTAGCAGACTTCAACAATGTCCATGTTAGATTATTGGCACCGATTGGAATCCTTTTCCCCATTAACTTCTGAAGACCGATAAATATCTTCCCACAAGTTTCACTGCAGAACCAACCATCCGTATGAGTAAAGCTTTGTTCTTTTAAGCAGCCAATGTGGTGTTTTCGCTCACATTGAAAACAAACTAAAACACTACTATCACCACAATCCTTGGCATACCTAAATTGTTTGCATATTTTGCAAGAACACGCGGGACAAAACCAATCTCCATCAGGAACGTGGTCTAACCCTAAACAACTAAGATGGAAAGAAGAAGGGCAGCCATCACATAACACTATGTCACCACCAAAACGACAAACGAAACAAATATTTTCATTTTGAAACTGGCACTGACGGTGATCCCTTTCTTCTTCTAAACAACCCACCTCCTTTTTCTGTGAACTCGAGGCTTCCTTTTGGATATCCAACAACGATCTTCCATCTAACAAGAAAATGCTAGCAGATGGTTTATGCTTGTAACACCTAGCATGAGCCTCAAAGCGAGTAGGAGAGAACAACTCACCACAGCAATCACAAACAATGCCCTCACGACATAGCTTCCCTTTCTTCACCACGTTATTTGCACCACGGCATAAAACCGCGGAATGCAAAGGCACCACGTTGCTATCAATTAACCAAGGGATAAGTGTTCCATGATTGTGTTGTGAAGATTCTGAACTTTGTGGCAAAGCACCGCCTCGCATCATCGATCTTAAACTCTTACCTCTTCCACATGCAAGATTAGAGGCTTCTGCTAACTCCTCCTCAGCTTTCTCGTCACCATCCAATGACTCATCATCATCATCATCATCAGTATCAGCCTTATGCCTTTTCTTTAACCCCCTTGACAGCACCTTCCTTTTCTTGGATTTTCTTGGTTTCTTTATCTTCTTATCTGGTGCAGAAGACAAAGAGTGTTGCTGATGAACAAAAGTGTTTTCTTGAAGGTTGCACCCTCCCTCCTGTATGCAACCTTGGCATGCCCTTGTTAGAGAGATGTAATTCTTACCGGTGATGGGTGATGTATAACGCAGTTCCCACCTTCCTTGCTTATTGACATACCAAAATTTCCAACCCAGAAAAACAAGATGCTTCTTGGCTTTGAGGGACAAGTCCCTGCTTAAGGCGCATTGGCGCTTGTAATCTGGCAGCGATGTGAGCCTATACCATTCATGCACAGCTTCAGGACAGTGTTCGGCTTCAATGTTGATATCAGGAGGCCTAGAAAAAGCCATCACAACAAACAAAACACTCTTTGCTGACAGGTTACATCACGAGCATTCTATTAGGGCTTACCACCTAGTGTAGTAGACTAGGTATACTAGGTATTTTAAAACGTTAATATTTTCGGGGGGATTCAGAGGCATCAAAATTTTTCTTATTAAGCGATTTGAATTCCATAACCCTTCCACTGATATATTAGGTTTTCAATGAATTTGGAATTAATTTGATTGATTGGCGTTCAATATATCGATATCTTCACAGTAACTATCTTATTTTATGGAATATATGTTAATTTCCATTTTTATATCACTTAAATGTGTTAATTTGGCGGTCAAGATATCCATTATTTATTTATATTATTTAATTTAATTTTATCATTTTCTTTTTAAAGTGTTAAATTTAGTATTCTAATTTTTTTAAAGTGTAATATTTAAATAATAGAAAAATAAAAAATGTATTTTTTAAAAATCTATATTTTTATCTATTTTAATTTATATAATATAATAATCTATTTATTAAATTGTAAGAAATAATCTATTTATAAAATGAGTTACTTCTAATTTTAATTCTTGTAAAAAAAAATTATTTTTCATCACTCTAAAATTAAAATTATTATTTTTTATATTTATTAACTAATTTTATATTTATCATATAAATCATTCATAGTAACACTCACAATTGTATTTGATAGTATGTTAATATATGAAATCTTTAATATTTTTTATAAATTTTTTAAATAAATATTATTTATTTACTTTAAAATAAACATTAAGAATCACAAATACAGACTTTTTGTTTTAGGAATCTAGAAAAATATTTTATAGCGATTAAAACTAAAATTTACTCATTTTTAGGATAAAAAAAAGTGAAAAACTAATTCCAAATTTTAAAGGGATAAAAAAACATAGAAAGTTTTTAATCAAGTAAATAAAATTATATATATATATATATATATATATATATATATATATA